CATAGATTTAACAAGATCTCAGCATTCCTGTCTGACAGTGCCATGTACATGTGCAAGGAGTTATCCAATATGCTTCAAGGAATGCTGCCCAACGCTGTTCATGTTATCTGCAGGGCTCATATTCTATCGCTAGTAAGTGACGTTGGGCGCACACACTTCCCTGATGTGGAAAGCCTAGTGTTCCTTCAAGAAAGCCTTTAAATACTTCCTAGGTTGTAAGGTTTGGTACAGGGAGTCCATCACCAATCAAAGTGGGGACTCGCATGGTACTGTGCCACTGCTACCAGAGCCTGTGCTCATACAGTGGAATTCCTGGTTCATCGCAGTCTGTTACCACACCAGGTATATGCAGTGCTACCAGCTGTTGGTGAGTGAGGAACTGGAAAGCAAACTCAGTGCACAATGCATGCTTAAGCTTCACAATTTGAGGTGATATTCAAGATCAAGTGACGTTTGTGGCTGACAGTGCCACCGGTTTATGGAGGTCCTGATGTGTTTTGAAGGCTGGCAGTCTGTGATCTACCACGTACACAACAAGCTGATGGATTTGATAAACTGGGTCGCAGACAAGGTATTGCAAGAACTGTCAAGCTGCCCTCATGAAAACCAGTCGAGAAGGGACCTGTTCCCGGCAATAGCTGTGTAGTGGAACCAATACTACAGGTACGAACCATCAGAGCTGGTTCATTCAGACAACCTGCTGCCCCCTTCCTTAGTGCTGTTTGCGTTTTAGATCCCAACAAGGTGCCTTTACTAAGTTTAGACACAAAACTACTGAAAGCAATCCTGAGATGGGGGAAAGAGAATGACATTGAACGTGCTGCTTATGTGAGCTTTGTCAAAGGGTGCCTGATGCCTGTGTTCTGGAACTCTGTCTGTGACAGTTTCCAGATCTTTACTCCTTGGCAAGACACTGCCTCAGCATTCCAACAAACTCGGTGGACACTCAGCATGCCACCTCAATGTAGGGACAAATGTTCATCCCACAGAAACAGAGAATGTCTGCAACTTCTGTAAGTAGGTGCAGCATGCTTGCATTTAATACCTAGCATGAGCTGTCTGTCTCAAGGTTAGCATTCAGTTTCAGAAAACTCCTTTTTTATAATGTCCTTTATTAAAGTGTGTAAAGTTGGTATTAGTTACAGTTCATCTTGTGCATAGCTTTACTTGCATAAGATATTTTAGTTTATAGTTGAATTAAGCACTTAGAAAATATTAATTAATAAAATGTATGTAGTTGGTATTACTTGCAACTCATGGTGTGCATAACTTTATTTTAACCCTCATCTGTTCTCATGGAACTGTAACTGCTGTTGGTCTCATGATGTAACTTGTTACTCCACCCGCATGAACAAAATGGGACCAGTGACAACAATATAAATGTACCAAAAACTATTTATTAGTTTTGGTGTTTGAAAGAGTATTTATGACGCTCTGAACCCAAAATATTATTTAACTAAAACTATGAAAAAATTTAAACTTTTTTTTAGCGTTTCAAAACATGAATGAACAATTTGCCAAGTCTGCAGTTCACACTGTTTTCAAACTAACAGTTAGTTACTTCCAAAAAACATTTCCTAACTGTTTTAACTAAATATTGCATTCCTCACAAAGCGGCAGTGTTGTACTGTGGTGCACACAAGCAGATCGCTTAAATCTTTGCATTGTTTCCAGGTTTTGCAGTCATCTGTCCTTGGACAAAAAGCACAGCGTCCACTCATGCTCGCAGAAGGTTTTACCAGGGTGCTCCATGGCAATTTGTAATTTCGGGTAGTCATACCAGACTTAATGGATTTAGACAGATTACGTGTATCCATCATTCTTTGTTTTATTTGTCCATCGATCAACTATTCTCCAAGCTCCGGCAGAAAAAAGTGCCGTCTTCTTAAACGTGGTCTTTGCTTCCAGTTTGTGTTGTGGCCTAGCCAAATGATGAGGCTGGCAATGGCAACTGCATCCAGCATATGGAAAATTAGTGTCATTGGCCACCCATTGATTTTCTATCTGCAGGTGGTCATATGGACTAAGTGGTCAAGGTTATCCACCCCACCCGTGTTTTTATTGTAGTCATGGATGATGTCCAGCTTTCTTTGCTCTCCACCCACTGACAGGTCGTGATGCATGCTTGACAGCATCAGAACAACTTTGGACTTCTTTGGAACATAAGAAACTAGAGCGAGTTCCCCATCCAAAGCAAAAGCAGAGTGGAGGATGGCCATCCACTAGTTACCATGGATACCTGAAGTGGACATGAATGAGATGTGAATGAACATGAATGAGGCCTGTTGAGGGCCACATTTGTAGCCCCACTCGACAAATGCCCCATCCCTGGTCACTAGCTTGTGACCAGAAGTCCCTCCCTTTGCCCCTGAAAGTACTCCTTTCAGCAAGAGGTTTTGCTGTCTCGGAACCAGAAAAATACCAAATTATATTCTAAAGAGCAAACATCTACAGCATTCATTAATTTGGTTTCAAAAAATGTTTGTCCTGATTTACATGTGTTAGTGTAGTGTACATAGAGGTCACAGTAGCTTAAAATGAAGTCTTACTCTTGTATATTGTGGGGAAGGAGGATGGGTATAGGTGTGTGGGTATGTGGGATGAGAAAGGCGTGTGGGTATGTGGGATGTGTGTAGGTATGGGGTTTGAGGGGCTGGGTGCCTGGGTAGTGTGAGGGGATGTGGGTGGTCTGCATGTATGGCAGTGCAACGGGGGTGTGGGAGCATGTGTATGGTGGGGGGGGTGTGGGACTTTGCCCCTGCCTACACATACACACCCTGTACCAGCGTGGCCCAGTGCTCCCCGGTCTGGTGATGCAGCCATGTGGTGTGGAGCAGGGTGGGGGCAGGAAGGGAGTGAAATGGCTAGGTGTGAGCAGGACTGGGCTGTTCAGTCCTGCTGAGGTTTCCCCTGGGTCCTACTACCCCTGGCTCCTTTGACTTGCTGCTGAGGCAGATTAATATGAATTTTCTAAATTTTTTAGGGGCCCTGTGGGCCGGATCTGGCCCGCGGGCCACATTTTGTCCGCCCCTGCATTAATCGATGCATTAAGTGAGCTAAGCATCTGTTAATAGTTTCTGTGGGCTTAATCCCCTGACATTGCACCACTGACTTTAGAGTAGCTGCTCTTAAAAAACAAACTTGAATGCAAAATTGCAAAAAAGAAATCTTCAGAGGACTTGATTGTGTTAAGTATGGTCCACACAGAGACTACTCTTATCTCATTACTTGGGCTAGCTTCTATAACCTCGGTGTTTTACCGCTTTGTTTAACACCTTTGTCTCTCTCAGCAGTGCCATCTCTTCTTTCCTTCCTTTTTTCCTGTTGCTTATGAAAGCTTATGCCTCTCTGAATTAGGTACTTTGTAAGGTGCCACTCTGCTTCACCTTCTTTCAGGTGTAAAATAATTCTTGTGGCGTGGCATATTCCTCTGGCAAATCTCTCTCTAGCACAGGTATGGGCAATTATTTTGGCTGGAGGCCTGCTTAATTAGTTTTGGTGAGCTGTCAAGGGCTGCAAGAGTAGCCCCACCCCTGGACAGGTGCCCTGCCCCCTGGTCATCATCTTGGGACCATAAGTCCCACCCCTAACCCCTGATCTTTGCCACTGGAAGTCCCTCTCCTTGCCCCCAAAAGTATTCCTTTTGGGAGGGAGGGTTTGCCATCTTGAAACCAGAAATAAAACAAATCATATACTAAAAGTCAAACACCTCCTAAAACATATTTTAATTTTATTACATAAAATATTTTTTACATGATTTGTGTTTTACATAGTGTATATAGAGGTGACTGTATAATAGCTCAAAGTCTTAATCTTGTATACTGTGTGTGGGGTGTGGTTGGGGTAGTGGGTTTGTGTGTATGGAGAGCTGTGTGGGTGTGGGGTTTGTGAGGGGATGTGGCTGTGTGTGTCAGGGGTGCAGGGTATGTTGCAGGGGTATATGTATATGTTGTGGGGGCAGGATGTGGGTGTGTGGGGTTTCTGGGGTATAAGGTGGGGGTTGGGAACCCACCTCCCACACACTACCCGTCCACCATGGTGCACAGCTTCTATTGCTGGTGGCAGCAGCAGGCAATGAGCCCCCGGGGTGCTCATGGCAGGTGCCGCCACCTGGAAGCATGTGGCTCCAGTCAGGAAGTTGCATGTGGTGGCAAGGAGCGCCGCTAGGCCAGTCTGTCTCTATCATGCAGGGCTCCTGGTGGTGCACATGCAGCTCCCAACATTCCTGCATTACCAAGGGAAGGCCTATGCAATGGAGCCAGCAGCTTTCCCTGCTCTTTGACGCCATGTGCAGGTCCTGGTACTCAGCTGGGAAGAATGGGGCAGGGCTCCCCTCCACTCCCAGAGGAGTCCCAGGACCTGCACGAAGCGCATGGGTTGGTCAGGGTAAAATCAATTCATGGGTGCTGGTGGGCTGGGTGAAATTGCCTACCCATGGGCCATATTTTGCCCCTTCCTGCTATAGCCGTTCTGTCAGTTTCTTCTCTAGATGTTTGTTGTGTCATTTAAAGCAGTGGTTCTCAACCTTTTTTTGTATCGGAACCCATTTGCAAACATCAACTGCCAATCTTGACCCAGCGCCCCTCACTTCTGACTTGCCGTCTTCTGTGCCTGTTTTTTTTTTACCATCTCTTCTGCCCGTTAAAAATTCCTTTGTTTCCAAGAAAAGGTCTGGTTTTATAGATCTCTCTTCAAACTTCAGTGGTATACTTCCCAAGAATGGATAAATTATAGGTATTAATTCCAGCAGATCTATCTAATTGCAAAGGAAGAACCCAACCAGGGAATTCAAACTCCTTTTTAGTAGTATTTATTCTAGTTTGCTGGCAGACTTAGTGGAATTAAGAAGATGACAGATGTTAATTTGTACAGTATCTTGGCTGAATATCATATTAGGAAATGTTATATACTGTCAAACAGAGCAGTGTCTAGAATAGAAAGTATATACCTCGCTAGTAATCTTATTGCACTTCATAATTGTCTTTTTTTTTCTTTCTAAGGAGAAGGATATCCTGAATTCAGCTTGCCTAATAAGCCAAAATAAGAGCTTTATTTTAACAAATGGCTACAGGAGACTTAAAGGGAAGTTTGCGCAAGATGGAACAAGGACTTCGCTTGTTAAACTATCCTAGAGATGTGGATTATGCAGGGTAAGAGGCAATAAAACATCTTAAATACATTTTTACGCCATCACTGTGATGGCAAGAATATAAGTAGTGTGTTGGTAACTATTAATAAAAACAAAACAAACAAGAAACCCCCAGGAACTTAATACATCAATTTTGGCCTTTGAATTTTGTTGCTAATGGTAAGTATGGTAGATGCCTCATCAGATATTCTAATTGCTTTTAAAGTATGTTGTCAAATTTAAAGTCTTTACTGTTTGAGAGTTTAATAAATGAGTTATTCTGGTGACAAAGCATATGTTTCAGAGTGTATGAAATGAGTCATTATTTTGGACTGATGGGTATTACTGCTCTCTTTAGCAGTACAAAATTTTGCAGTTGACTTAGGACATTTTAGAGGAAAGTGAAATCTACTATAAAAGCATCCTAGTAGCAGAATGTTTGCTTAGGAATTATTACATATTTATGTGGAAAGTCTCCCAGAGCTACAGTAGCACTAGTGCTGCAGTAGCGAGAATGGCAGAGTAGAACAAGCACTAATGCTTTTAGTGTTGTCATTTAACCTTAAAAGTAGGTATAGCAAGGTGGTTATATGGCATTGGTCTCCTTGTACTGGTTGAGAGAGAGCACTGCTGTTCTACCATGTTTTTAGGCCTGTTTTGATCAAGATCACATGAAAATGGTACAATAGTTTTGTGTTAACTATTTAGCTATAAGCAAAGTTGTTGCAGTGCTGAGATTTATTTTTAAAAAGTTAGCATTGGTGCTTACAGATGTTAAAAAAGCCCCCTGCTTTACCAGAAGAAGCAGTGTGTTGCTTTGACCCGGCTGTGCAGCATCTGTATAGATTGGGTGCTTCAGTGGTGCTTTTTGGTGCTTTTAGGTAAAGCTGATTCAATCAGCTATTAGATAAAAGCACCAGAAAAAGCCCCACTAAAGCGCCCAGTCTATACAGACATCAGGCAAGCCAGATCCAAGTAAGGCGCTGCCTCTTCTGGGCATGCGCTGGGCTTGGTGCGGGGGAACACACTGAGTTTAAAGTGATGAGCAAGTGAGAAGCTTATCTGATTTGGGTGTGAGAGATTTTTCCCTGGAACCCATAGAACCAGCAGGCATAGCTGTTAGAAGTTTGAAAAAAATTAAATACTAGCTTTTTTCAGGATGGGGGTGAAATAATCTTTTAATATACTTAATATGCATTCAGTCTAGAGCCAATTTTTTTTCTTTCATTTTAAATTTTTCTTAAAAGAAAGTCACTTTACCATTATGTCAATCGACACTGTCACTCCTTTAGTGGTACCATTTTCACTCAAATCCAAGATAAGGTTTTTTCCCAAATCATCATGAAGGGAAAATAAGCCTTGAAAAGTATAACAAATTTATAGTTTTCGTGTATAGAATCTAATGGGGAGAAGGTGTTTTCTATTCAGAGTCGTCTTATATTTGAGTAAATATGGTGTATTTATTTTGACATGCTTGGTAATATAATCTGACCCTCTCTTTAATGTTTTTCCCATTCCCTGTAATGTCGTGGTTAGATCTTGTGTGTGTGTGTGTGTGTGTGTGTGTGTGTGTGTGTGTGTGTGTGTGTGAGGGGAGAGGGGGACGTTTTCACTGTGCATGATGGAAGCTTCTCTGAAGTTGTTTACAATGATACTTCACATTTGGCTTTAAGAAAGTTCAGCTGGATTTTTTCATCTAAATTGATCTTAAAGCTAATGCAATTCTTTCATTTATATCTGTGTTTATGAATTTTGTACACAAGGGAAAAAACAGTACGTGGTCTGTCTTTATAAATCTCAAGTACATTAACCAGTTCCATACACTTAAGTGGCTAAATAAAGCAAAAATGTTTAAAGCCTTTGAGGTTTTAATATTTTTTTACAAATTGAGCGGAAATGCTAAATAAATTGCACAAGCCTCATAATAGATAAATTGAGATGCAAGGTTCAACAATGAAATGCAGATAAAAAGTTGTGTGGTCATCTTTTTCAGAAACGCTAAATGTAGGGTGCCCAGGAATAGAGAGAAATAAATGTCAATGTTCAAGTTCTACTCTGGCACATACACGCGCAAGATTAGGTTATTTTGGATAACAAAATTCTTTAGTGCTGATGCTGTGCCCTAGGTGTTTTTGTGCCCCATTAACTGAGTATGCAAAGGGCACAGTAGATCCAACCATCCCTTGGTTTTTCTTTACAAAAGGCGAGAGGGAACTTCTATAATATCTATCTACTTCTCTTCTCATGGTGCTAATATTAGTCATTTTAGCTAACAGTTATTAGTAAATCTCTTTCCCTTTTTTGTACCAATCAGGAGTTCTGCCATATGCAAGAAGTGAAATATCTGGGGTTTAAAACCTGTTCCTTGTATTAAAATTCAGTGGGGCTTAATTAAGGACACTTCCAGTTGTCTAATTTGAAGCAGACTAAAAAAGCTAGAGTTGCTGTCATTAACTGGTTCGTCATGGAATACCATATGCAAGCCTCTACACATGCTAAAAAGGGTGTAACAAAACCTCCATATTCTAATCCAGTGGTTCTCAATCTTTTTAGACTTGAGGCACTGCTCCATACATTTTTGTGAATTGAGCAGCATTCCATTTAAAAAGTATTTATTACAGTGTTTACTTCCTTGCGAGGGCACTAGAGAGTGGGAGTGAGGCAGTGGCCAGTCGGAGGCGAGACTGAGCTTTCATTTATCTCTTCACACCTCACAGCACCTCAGGGTGCCTAGGCACCCTGGTTGAGAATCAGTCTTTCAGCCCTAGAGAGCTGAACTTTCATCCTAAATCCTATGCTATATCAACCAAGAGGCTCTAGTCATTTGCCTCTCTCCTATGATGCTTATTCTAGAGAGGTAGGAAGGAGTATGCTTCACTCCTGCTGTCTACTCTGTTCTGTCTTCTTAAATGATCATGAGTTTAAACAACTGTTCCTTGTCAATATTATTCTTTTGAGTTAACACTGCACTTCATAGGCGATAGGAGCATCAGTGTTTCAGGCTACCTGCAGACTTGGGCAGATAGCCTGATTATATCCAAATTGGATACCACTGATTCACATTTGGAAAGTTAATTTCAGCAACCAAGAAGACTAGATTGGGCTGAGATTCTACAAAATCTGGATATGCTATGAGAAGCATAATATGCAACTTGCAAGGTGCATTACTATACCAAATTATACCAAGTGATATTATCTCTGTTTACTGTGGTAAATATTTCTGTTTTCCCCCAACAGCTTGGTAAAGGGTGCTCCAGCTGCCTTTTTACCCATAATCAGCTATTCTTTCACATCCTTCTCAACCTACATAGCAGAACTTTTGGTGGAGTCTGATGTGGAGCTCACAGCAAAAAGTGACTTGCGTTTCATTGAAACTATTTATAAGGTACTGACTTTTTGCTCTTTGACTTGGAAAACAAGTTTTGTGCATGTCTCATAATTACATTGTTAACTTGCTATTATGACTCTCCACATGCTAATACAATTTTGGCAATGAAAATCAGTGTTGCAATTATTTGGTAAATTTTGAGCAAGAGGTTTTGTCTAAACTTGCTAGCTTGATTTAGAAACAGTTGACCTCTTGTAAAGTGTATTTAATGTGTTTTATCCTTGGTGTCTAGGTCAGGATTTCAGATGAGCAATGACTAAGTGGCAGCTCCAAATTTTTATTTATATCTTAATGAAACTGGGATACAATATATTAGTCAAACTTCAGTTTTTGACAGTGGTAATATCAGCAAAATTACATCTGGTATTTGCAGATTGTAGGTCTGGAAGTACATGTAAAGTATTCATTGTGCAGTACTGTAAATTGAGCAGCCACAGTTGAATGAGAATATATTTTATTGAATTTGCTGAAATGAAACTTTTTAGTAATTGTTCATTCTGTAAAGAATCATTCTTGAGGTTTTTATGATGAAATGTCTTTCATTATGATGTCAGTACCTGGAGTATTTACAAATTCAATCATTCTGATGTTCTTGATGAAAATTTTATTTCTTATAAGCCTAACATAAAATTACTTTTTGCATATCCTTATTAACTGTTGATCTAGTTCTGTAATAATTATAATAAATAATTTCAATTTGCTGTTTATAATTGTTTTCTCTCAGTCCTCACAGTGAGTATAGAAAATTGAATAACATTGACCAAATGAGGTATAATTTAGAGAGAATATACAATAGAAACATTTCACATAGATTACAATTTAAGGAATCCGATTTTGCTATTGTAAATACTAAAATGCATTTCGGTCTTGTGTGCCAATTAAAGAAAAGCTGAAGCTCAATCTAGGCACAAAGAGCTGATTGTGGGCTGTCATAAGCAGCTGGAGGTGATGGCAGAGACTGTCAGTCTCTGTGACTGACAGGGTGACAGTATGTGCCTGCCATCGGTTATCAAAGTTTGTAAAATATGGCTGACTGTTGTTTTTGTTGAAGACTTATCTCCATGCCTTACTGGTGCTGTTTGATGGATTTACAAAATGGTAGATGAGATGGTTTTTCACAAACTGACTGTGGCAGAGAAAGTTTGGATGTAAACCTTGTGACTGTTTGCAGTGGGGTTACCAATTTGCAATGCACTAGGGATTGCATTTAACCTATTTAGCAGTTTCCAATTTAAGGGTTTATCTAGGGGTTTCCAGTTTAGTTGGAAACTGAAGCTGGAGCAGAATACAGTGGCATGTGTTATTGAGCAGGCTGTATCAATGAGAGCATTGAATGCTTGTGTATAGGTGCTCCTATAAAAAGAGAAGCAACAGCTAGCAGGGCATTTGTTCTGTGACGGTATCAGGTCTCTGGAACTTGTTTTCCCACTTTGGTCCAAAGTAACCTGATTTTCAAGGCGTGTTGCTATTTTTATTTAGTCTTTTTTACAGGAGAGCTAATGATGTGCCATTGGAACTATGACTATTTTTACAGGTGTCTAACCAGGGTTTGTCTGCTTGTTTGTTTTTTCCTGATTTGATTGTCTAACCTTCCAAGTTTATGTTGTTAACTGGAGGATAACCCAGCATATCTGGTAACTGTTTTTATTCTTTAAATTAAAATAAAGTCAATGATGGATACTTGTGCTTAATGTTGGCTTAATTGGTTTATAAGATTAGATTCTAAGTCTCTTAGTCTCAATTTGTAGCTAGCTGTGTTTTTGCTGAATGAAAGAACAGACTGTATATTTCAATCTTTCAATCATGTTTGCAGTTCTTATGTTCTGCTTTAATGAAAATCCAAGATTCCATTCCTTAGAACTTGATTCAAATGAATTGCAGTTCTTGGCTAACTTTCCTAAATAGGAGTGCCTTTATACTTGGAATTGAGTGGATCAACTTGTCTTTTATTTCTTTGTAAACTTCTTTATAGAAGGTATTCAGTTTTAAACCATCCCAGTTTTCAGTTATTGAGTTTTAACTATAAATATGAAAGATTACAAGGATTAGTGCTGATTTTTGTATCATGTCTAGAAAGTGGAACTGGATTCTTTTCTGTACAAAATGAAATATGGATTTATCACATTTATAGAATATGCAGGTATCATCAAATACATTTTATACTTGGGTTAATGATAGGTATGTGGTTTTATCTTATTTAAAGCAATTCATAAAGTCTTCTTTTTCAGAAGTGGAGTCACGGTTATGGGGTTTTAGATAGGTACAGATCCATTTCTGTGATTGATATCTAGTTAACGACTTTGATTGCAGTATTCATGTTTGTGAATGCATCTGGTATTGCTGCAATAATCAACTGATATTACTGTACTTAGACTCAAAATGTTTGACATTTACAGAGCTTAATATTTAATCCAAAAGGGTTTGTTTGCATAAATGCATACTTTGTAATATTTTTGTGTTGTGTGAAATTGTATTTAATTCTGGAGTGAAGTACATTGCTTTAGAAAATAGAGTGGAAAACAAATAACATTATTTTTACTGTGCTGTCATATTTTTGGAACTTTCCAAAGGCACTTTCCAAGCTAAATTGGTTACTTATTAATATATTAGCAGTTGTTTATATTAATATTTATGAACTTCTTATTAATGAGTGACTTAAATGCATGATACCTGCTAGAATGGCATATGTTGGGAATTATAATTATGGGATAAGCTTGGAAAGAATAATGTATGAACAACATGTGAGAGAGATTCTTTGCAGAAGAGGGGGAGATGAGGGCAATAACCTAAATAACAAAGTTGGTTTTTGAGAATCAATTATGATGGTTTGGATGCAAATTATTTTTTTATTTTTTTTTTAGTTTCTTCGAGATCATTTTCAATACAAACCTATTTTAACAAAGCAACAATTTCTCCAGTGTGGCTTTGCAGAAAGGAAAATACAGGTTGTTTGTGACATTATCAGCATTGTGATGAAAAAGCATAGAGAGTTAAGTAACTTGAATAAGGTACTGAGCAGGTGATACTGCAGTTTTTGACTTTTGACTAACATGGGAAAGATTTTTGTTTGTTTGTCTATAACATGCAGTTAGCATTACTATAAATAGTAATAATATAAATATGAGCTGCAGTAAGGATCCCTGAAGAAAGACTTGGGGGTAGAATCCTAATCCCTTACAAATTTGGTATGAATGGGTGCTGACAGACATCCCATCAGCCTATCAAAATGGAGGTGTGTGTATTAAATGCAGAAGCAGATTTTATGCCCTGAGTTGGAAGTACCTTAATTTGATTCCTGCTTCATAGTGCAGCAGCTGTGGTATTACTGTTCAGGAAGCTGAAGGAGTCAGTCAGCTTAATGACTCCTTGTTCTTCCTCTCTACAGGTGTTAACAGTCCTGCCTCCTTTTAAATGGTCTTGATGTTCCACTAATCTAACTTTTTTCTTAGGGCAATATTGTTCTGAGCTAACTGCTCCTGGTCTATTTTATAACCTCTTCTGCTCATACTCTTTAATTCTTTTCTAAATCATAGAATTACCCATGGGTCTTACAGCTAGGGATTTAACTTTTGTCATGAAGGTAACGGGGGGAGAGTTATCTGAAAATTAGCTTTTGCATCCATAACTAGAAAAAAAAAATCTCTTGTTCATTCTTCTGCCTTTCAAAAGAAAAGGTGTGTATTAAATGTGGGTGCGTGTTGTGTGAGAGAAAATACGGTATGCCCTTCTTCCAGGAGAAGATTGAGGCTAATAGTACAAGAGTGTTTTGTTGATATATTTCTATTTTCGAAGGCGAAATCACAAAGAAGGAAGAGAACCAGGTCTTTTAAATCTGAACCACTAGCCAGTTGTGAGAATCTTTTGGCTGATCCTATTGTCAGGACTGTGGATTCCAGTGAGGTATGTAAATGAAAGGGAAATTATTTTTGTTGTTTATGTAAACACAAGTAATTTGGGGGGGGGGGGGGGGGGATGTTTATAAAACAGATCAGGGTGATTAGGAGGTTCAGAAAGGCAGTACCTTCCTAGAATATATAAGCTTTCACTTAAATTAAGCTTTAAAGTGAGTCCTGTCCCCCCTCCCCAAAAAGGGGTGGGAAAGAGAGAGAAACTGATGAAGTGAAACTATAACCCTGACATCAAACTGCACCATGGAGCATATGGCACATAAAGGAAGAACTTCAGTTAAAATGAAGTGTATGTAATGCTTATTTTTTAATGAAAAATCTCTTCCTGTTTGCTTTCTGTAACCTTTAGTACTATTGTTCACAATATGTTCCTGTCTATTTTTCAAGAGACTTTAGGGAAGAATTAATGCACTTTGAAAGAGCTCAGATCTTCCTTATTCTGAAAGTTGATGGTTGTTACAAGCCTGTCCTTCCCTTTCCAAAGCCACACTCATGATGTCCTGCAACGCGTGTTCGTCTCCCTCTGTTATCCACAACAAAGCCATTGAAAAAACTGTTAACAGAGGCTGAAATTTGTGGGCCACAGATGATTAAATACAGATGTAATTTCCCTGTTTCCTCAGAGCTCGTGGAATATTTTTGAGTGAACATAGTGAGCTTTGGATAATATCTTCATTCAGTTGCTAACTTTATTGAGGCATTGAACAACTGCTATCTGAAAGTGAACCTAAGCAAGGCTGATAAGGTGCTAGTAGAAACACCTGGAAATACTTGGAAGAGCTTATCTTCTTCAACTCTTTCCATTATATTAAATTGATCTATAATCTTTTTGGACCCTTCACTATTTAAGGTAGGGGGAGGGAGATGGAACATGCCTACTTCTATCTGTGACTAGTCAGAGGATTGTACACACTTCTTTTGGACTGAGATCTGGCAGCAGTGGTTGACATATGCAACTGTCACACTTTATTATTACAACTTGTATCTAGATGTGATGTTTCACATCTGCAGTAATTTAATCTACACAAAATGCAGTATCACTACAGAAAGTGCATCACCACAAGCACATAATCTTGAGGCTCTTTTCTCTTTCTACTAGATCACCATTGCATAGAGTACAGTTTTATAACTGTTCTCTTTATTGGGACAGGAATTAGCTGTCAAAGAGAATGCCTTTATCCATGACTTCACATGATTAAGTTCGATCTCATGTATAAAATTGTCAAGCAGTAGAGAGAAGCTTGCAAGTATTAGAGACTGAACATACAAAAGAGCTGAAATTGCTCAGAAAGAATTACGAAACTCCTCTTTTTGTCTTTGTTTTCCCTCAACAAGTTCTTCAAAGCAAACAAAAAATTAAAAACCTCCCCCCATGCCCCCCAAAACCCCAGTATAGCTAGTCAAGCAATTTTTTTAACTATGTCAGGGAAAAGGTGATAATGTATTACTTTTACTGGCTTGGGAGGCAGTATATGTCATAAGGCCTTCTGAATACAGGCAGTCCTCAGACTTATGACACAATTGGTTCCTGAAAACTGCATCTTAAGTCGAAACATCATAACTTGGAACCGATTTTCCCATAGGAACAATGTTATAAATGGGGGATTGGTTCCAGAACCAAGGCCCAATACCCTATTTTTCACCAAAAATAACCCAGAATTTTGTACTTGATCAATTATAGATGAGTAATATAGCTACATTAATGTATTTATATTGTGAATAGCAATCATATAGATTTGAAAGGACTTCTTTGAGGTGACTTTGCTGGACTTTTTGAAGGGCTGTTGGCTGTAGTCTTCTCAGGAGTCATGGTGGCAGGTTTTTCTGGAGTCTTGTCCGCTTTCTTAAAGGAAGCATCCAAGGAAGTTTTGGACAGATGTTCTCCAGGGAGATGGGTGATGCAGCGTGGCGTAGCATTGTGTTGGATCAAGCATTGTAAAGTTGAAACTGATGTCAGAAAGTTGAAACAGGGTGTCCATTTATAAACACTGTAAATGCTGTTCATTGCAACTTGAAACGTCTTAAGTTGAGGACTGCCTGTATTTAATTATGAGGTTGTTTTTATTGCAGTTTCAGGTACAGTTGTCCAGGGATTTAGTCTTTATCACTAGACTCATTTAAGTTGTTGAGGTATGCAAAGTTATTGACTCTGGCTATAAGAGAAATTTTATCCTATTATTCCAATATAATAATTGCTTTTGGTGTCTTACAGCAATGTGAGACCAAAATGCTTGATAGCAAAATAGTTTAATGTTAAATTAGGAGATCTTAAAAGCAGCATATTTTATATGGATTTAGTATGAATATGTGTTACTACAGTTAAGTGATACAATGATTATTCTTTTCTTCTTGTGATGTTCAGAAGAAACCTCAAGTGGAGCGTCACCCAGCAAGTGAAATTAATGTGCATGCCCATGATTCAACTATTTTAGTAGATGAAGATAATGAAGAAAAATCTGACCTAACTGATGATAGTTTGGAAGTGTGTGAACAAGTAAGAATTTGAATAGTAAATGTATATCTTCATTTTGGAATTTTTTTCCTTCTTTGTACTGTGATATTCAAGGCGATCAGTGTAAGGCAGGAGGCAGCAACCTATAGCCTGTGGCCCAGATTCAGTCTGCAGAACTTATGGATCTGGTCCATCAGTGGTAGTAGCGGGGGCTGCTTATGCAGGCATTCTTCCAGTGTTACTGCAAGGACAAATTCTGACTGCGGTCTGCCACGGGGAGAAGTGCCAGCTACAGACACTTTCCCCTTGCAGCTGGGAAGACGGGCAGCAGTGGCAGGAAGGTTCTTGTGCCTGCTTGTTCACTTTCAAACCAGAGTGGGTAATTCTTGCCCACAGCCAAAAAATGTAAGTATTCAAAATTTTAAACTTGACCTGTAGGTATCAAAAAGATGGCTAGAGAACAGTGGTAATAAAGAACAGAACAATTTTCAGGAAACAGGTGGGAGTAGTCATGTGATTGGCAGTTGTGATTTCATAAAGCATTCCCAGGTTCCCCAAAACCATATTGCAATCAGCTGACTCATTTCTAGTAGGTATTTTTCTAATGTATAACTAGTGACTTTTTTTTTATAAGGGAGTATATACAATAATCCTTGAAGGAAGAATCATTCATATATGTGGTTCATCACCAGGGATCCTGGTTTTCTCTGTTTAAAAATTGCAAGTTCTGATTTTAAAAAATGCCAAATTATTTGATTAAAAAACCCCAAGTCAGTGTTTTTCAGTGAGTAAAAAGAAGTGCACGCACGCGCGCGTGTATATGTATATGCTGAATATGTTCGTGTGTACATGTACGTACATGTGTATATGCACGTGTGTGCGTGTATATGTGCACATATAAAATACAGACGCATGCAACAAAATGTTTTATTGATACACTTACTATGTTAAAGCAATTTGGAAGCCTACCAGTGCCTCAGTAGTTATAATAAAATTAGTGTTCCGTATTTTCAGTTTTTACTGAATTTCATTGGTAAATTACTGGATTTTTTTATTGGAGTTATTCATCTTTCACTGATATACACCTGTTTTTCAGCGTAAGTCAGTAAAAACCGATTGGGGGAGGGTGGGTGGTGGGAGCCACACACGGAGTGGGGGGCAGGAGGAGGGACGGTGGCAGTGTGGAGGCTAGTGGGGTGTCTGGAGCTGCTGCCTGGAGGCATGGAGTTCCTGGCTCTGACCCTGGGCGGAGTGGGAGGGGCAGCAGGAA